TTGAATTTTGTATTTATGACAATGAGAAGACATGGAATATTTCTAAGCAGATACCAAACAAGAAAAAATTTAATACTGGTTAGCATATCAAAGCATATAAGAAAGAGAAGGTGGAAGTAAAGAGGAGAGGAATAAAAAGGGTTTAAAGTAAGTGAAAGAGAATTCTAGTGCTAGATAAAGTGGAATATCCAGGTACATCATTATAAAAATTCTGACAGTCAAAGAGAGAGAACAAATATTGAAAACAGCAAGAAAAATTCTCATCACTTACAAGTGAATCCCATAAGATTAACAGCTGAACTCTCATCAGAAACAATCATTGAAAGCACAAGACTCAGATAACATATCTGAAATATACAAAACCACTATCAGCTAGGAATTTTATACCCAAAAAGTTATCTTTCAAAAATAAAGGAGAAAGTTTAAATTTCCTATTAAACAAAAGCTGAAAGTATCTGGAGATAACATATAAAAAACTTAAATACCAAATGAAGTTCCTTAGGCTGAAAGTCATCCCAGACAATAATTTGAATCCACATGAAAAACTAAAAATTAACACTACAGTACGTAATCACAGTAAGTAGGATAAATAAAAATGTGCTGATGTGCTGTTCTTCTTCTCTTACCCAACTTAAAGAGTGACTGTGTGAGATAATACACATAAAATAGTGAACCTATAACAAATATAAATGTAGAAATGCATGTGAAATGTATAGAGAGCAGCCCAGGAAGATGGGAGGGGAGAAAACTTATATTGAACTAAAGAAAGGACATCAAATGGCAACTCAAACCCAGGAATAAGTGAAGAAGAGAAATGATACATAAGATGTTTAATGTAATAAACTATAAATATATATTTATTCCCGTCTTTTTTGCTTCAATAGACATAGATGTATAGAAAATGATAACAATGTGTTGGCATTGTAACAGAAATAGATATAACAAAAAATAATACACAAAGGGGGAAATAAAATAGAACTGTGTAAGAGTAGCATTTTGGGGGACCAGCAGGCAGTGGAATGGCTATGTCACTGGACTCCCATGTAGTTGACCACTGTTCGAGTCCCAGACCTGGTGGTTTAAACTCACACTGGGTGTGTGTGCGTGCATGCCCAAGATCCTGTGAGGAGAATGGAGGAGAAGGGATTGCAGCATGGCCATCCCCCCTGAGGGGTGATTTCTTGCTTTCTGTCTCTCTCTATTTTTCTGGAGAGTGCACGCACACTGTAGTAAAAACTCTCAAAAAAAAAAAAAAAAAAGAGTAGCATTTTTGTATCTAAATGGAATGAAGTTGGTAAAATTCCAAACTATATTGCATTAGGTTGAGATATATATATAGTAAGCCCTAGAGCAAGCATCAAGAAAATAAAAATACAGGGAAAAATTATTAAAGGAATTAATGTTACATTAGAAAATATTGACTCGAGGCAAAGACTACAGTAAAGAAGGAATAGAGGAACAAAATGACATCATGACTATAAGCACTTGGGTTGTAGGCAACTTCAGGCACAAATCTGGGATGTCAAAGTTACTTGGGAATAAGACTTTTGATTCCCTGCAGAATCAATTGATCTGGAAGAGACTGACATCAATGGGTCTGAGTACCTAGAACTTCAAACATCCATTAGCTAGAACTTCAAAGCACATATTCTGTGGCTGAAACACCCACTTTTGGTGTGGAATGACTAGATATCTTTTTCACTATTATTATTAATTTATAATTATTAGTAGTATTTTCACATTTTTTATTTTTCAGAACTAAAATGATTTTTATCCTTTTTTTAGCTTTTCTAATTATCATGTCTATATCGAATCCAATCTAGAGGTAGATGGAATATACCAAGAGAAGCAAGATAACACCAAAATGTACATAGTTGTATGTCAAGCTAATTAAACTTTTTTTTTTTTGAGACAGAGAGAGAGATTTTTGTTATAGGGTGCATGTGCTCACTGGAGAGACAGAGAGAAACAGAGAGACAGAAAGCAAGAAATCACCTGCTAAGGGGGATTGCCATGCTACAATCCCCTCTCCTCTCAAGATTTTGGTCATGCATACACTTGTGCCTGGCATGAGTTTTAAGCCACAGGGTCCAAGACTCGAACCATGGTCGACTGTGCCACTACATGGAATTCCAGCCATCACGGGCATAACCATTACACCATCTGCTGTAACCAATGTTTTTACACACATTATACAAAGAGAACATGTTGATTAACGAAATAAGATGGTTGCCATTTTCCAGTTAACCACTCCTTTAAGAATAACCACCAGATGGTATATGAGTTACATCCCCTGGACTCCCATATGAATGACTGCAGTTAAATCATGGAGCTGAGAGCTTGAAACTCAGGTTAGGTATGTGTGTGTGAATGTGGACCCAAGATCTAAGGAGGAGAATGGAGGAGAAGGGCTTGTTGCAAGACCATCCCCTTGGGAGGTAATTTCTCATTTTCTTTCAAACTGTCTCTGTCTCCTCTCTCCCTGGCAAGCATATGTGCCCTAAGGCAAAACTTCTTAAAATATATATATA